TTATTTTTAAAACTATGTCCTTAATAATAAGATTAAGCAAAAAAAAAAAAAAAAAGAAAATCGATTTTTTCAAAAGTTCATACTAGAATACCCCCTTAAATGTTCACCGTCGAAAATTCTTCTGCATTAGAGGAATCAAAGAGTGAGGGATGAGCGTGAGAGGCTCCACAGCTGACAGGGGCGCCGATAACCGATTGCAAAAAAAAAAAAAAGAGAAAAGGAAAAAAGGAAAAAGAAAGAAATTGAGAACGAAAGACTGGAGCCAGAGGAGTAGGAGTACGAGTCCTATCCTACTTCGACGTAATCCCGCGACGCCGCGGCGAAAAAATAATATTATTCGAGAGGCCGGGGCCGAAAGTTGTCCCGTGGCCATGGGAAAGTTAGCACGCCCCGTGACAAAGTTACTTTCGCATTATCCTTTGTCCACCGCGCCCCTCGCTGTTCCTGTCCACCGCGTGCAAGAAGTTTCGCCGATAAAGAAGCTCGTTCGCTCGCGCGTCTTCCGCTCCCAGTGTCCCAGGGATAACACAAAGCGTGTTCTTAATAACGCCCCACACCACCCAAACGTCGCAACGTTGCTTTTATGAAGCCGCCTGCAAGTCTAGCGCCCGGACACTTTCCAGTTTTATCGGCCACTCGCCGAAATCCGCACACGTTGGCGCTAACATCCGCTAATACGCTAATAGCAGACGTCGTGTTTGTTCGTCGGACAGGTTGAACAAACCTGCGATAACCAAGGACGATAGAGATCGAGTCACTCGCGCGTTTAATCGGCGCCGAATGTTGTAATATTTCGTGGAGAAAGAACAGGTGGACGCTTCGTTCTCTGTCGCGCTGAAAATCTTGCAGCTGGAATGTTTCTCGTTCGTGGAAATCGTTCGAATCGGGTAGATGGCGATCTTTTCGAAAATTCTGGCTGACATTTTCTTTTCCACTCGCTGGCAACCGCGGTTCGCGGACCATAACGAGTGACCGGACCGTATACAATAACCTGATACCGTATACAAGACTTAACCTAATCCTTTTCAAAGCGGAGGCTTCACTCTTTAAAAAGAGACCAAGTGGAAATCGTCATACGTGTGACCGTCTTTCACGAAATTCTGTATTAATTATCGGCAATTATTCATTGTCATTCGAACATTTATGCTCTTAGCTATAAATTGTTTGACTTTGACCGTCTCATAAATTTCTTTCTACGCCAGGGGTTTTTAACCCCATGCGTTGACAACTGGTTCGCGGACCATAACGAGCGACCGAACCGTATACAACAATTCGCCGCTTTCTTTTTCTTTTGAACTCGTCGGTACGACATCATCGGGTAGAAATTATTAAGAAATAATAAATATATTATTATTAAATGTATTATAAATACATAATATACAATAAATATATAATATATATATTATTAAAATATATAATAAATATATTATTAAATATATATATTAAGAAATAGTAAATAAATAATAAGAAATAATAAAGAAAGTTTAAGTTTATTAAATAAATATTAGGAAATAATAAATAAATGTATATAGTATTGTCATTTATTTTGCCTAGATTACATTTAAATATACTTGAAACTGAGGAAATGTTGCAATTTGCTTTCACAAAAGATTTCTCGACGTGCGTGGCACGTCATTCCAGCGCAAGAGGTTAAATAGATCGCACCGCGGCGAATCTAACGTAGACAGGCAGTCGGCCGGAGAGATTCGATGGGAATAATATTGGCAGCAAACAAGATCCTTCGCGAGAAATCGTTTTTCGCGAGTAAGAAGAGCTTTTACGGGCTCGCTGAGTCAGCAAGGCCGCATAAACGAGATGGGCGGGTACCCAGGGCGCACAAATATACCACCTTCCTCCACCTTAAATCTTGCCGCGACTCGTCGAGAAAGAGAAAACACGAGAGAGAGAGAGAGAGAGAGAGAGAGAGATTCGTTCGCGTTCAATTTACATCTGTACATGTTAAAACGGCTACGCATCGGTTTGTACAAACCTGGCCAAAATACTATCACCAGTCAACGGAATTACGCGCGTGGCTTCCGACATGACGGTCGAACAACGTTTTCGAGGCAGCATCGATCCACGTAGGTGAAGCAACGACCCACGAAATAACTTCTAACGTGGGCAGCAGCAAGCAAATACGAGCTTCGAGGCTTCAAGGCCGAGGTAAACACTTCGTTTTTGGTTAAAAAGCGCGGTAAGTCTTGCGTCGTTCGGTGAACCGCGTTGTGATTTCAGCTCTCGTTTTCGTCTTTGCGCGAGAATGTGCACAAAGTGTGATTTTTATCGGAAGATTGTGTCAAAATGTCACGTTTCAACAGTTCCTTTTTTTTTTTTTTGTCATTTCGAAATTCTGAGAGAATCGTTAATGAATTTTTGTTCAACTCAATCCTGTAAATAATAACTTTAATTCATTTAGTTATTATTTATCGATAATTTATTTCGATTTTTATCACGTAAGTAATTAAATCTTTGTTCGAAGAGGATCCTAAGTTTTTCAAGTTCGTTGAGCAACGCTTCTTCCGTTGCGTATCTATGGACAAAGTCATAAAATAAAAACGTACGTACGAAGAGTGGCAGATATTCGCGACTCGTGGCGCAAAACGAGACATCGATCGAGAAATAACACAAGACGGCATAAAGTTGATGCCGAAAGTTGGAACTGAATTGCGCGGCAAAGGGACGAAGAAGCTTGAAAAGGGTTAGTTGAAAAAGAGAAAGCGAGAATTTCTATTTCAATTGGCGTGCTGCGTTTCTCCATTAAGGGGACGATCCTCCTCTTTTCGGGGCATGTTCCTTCCTACCTTCCTTCTTTTTCCTTTTCCTCCTTTTTCCCCCTCTTTTTCTCTTTCTCTGAAAATTACGTTACATTATTAATTAATTAAACGACGTAGTTTCGGTTAGCTTCATTATCATCAGAGAGTCTCCACTCGGCAGACAGCCGGCCCGTCCTAAATGCACACGTGCCCGCGCCACTCTCTATTATACATTCTTTTCCATTATGCAAATTCCCAACTATTATGCAAATGTCAAGCCCTTCTTTGGTCGCCGTGCAAGAAAGATATGTATTTAAACAGAAGGGCCGTGTGACCGTGCTCAACGTTACACATTCAACGGGACGTTTCATAGTGAAAAGAAAGAAGCAAAAAACAAGATGTAACAAATATATGTGGTCCCTTTTTCTGGTGAAAAGGAAGAGACGCCTCTCGAGAACCATGTCAACTGACAAAGAACACTTTTGTACGAGAAGTACAGACGACGATTAATCAGCGAATCAAATTCGAGTAAAATTGGTAAAGTTCGAATACTAAACTGGAACGTGTCTAATTTACTGGAACGTGTCTAATGATCTATTTAGCGACGTTGCAACATTTCCGTCGTTTCAGAGTCAACCTTTCGCGTTGATTTTGTAATTCGATAAACCGATAGTAACAATTAATTAGAAGTGAAAATTGTTTTGACAACCGTTTTGGAAATAGTAGAAAAGATAATGCGTGACATGGAAAGAGCAAATGACGATACACGTGTCGGGAGAATTGTTGTGGAGAGACAAAATTTACTTATGTTGTCAGTCATGTAGAAACTACTTCGGAATAATTTCGGAATGATGGTTATTGAGGGATGTCTGAGGTAACATTCAAAGAGAACAATAAGGTTCTCGCTCATAGCTAAATATATGGAGAGTACGCATGGTTGATTGACGGATCCTGTTAATCCTCCACTTCCAGGAACTCCTTCAATATGACATGACAACGGTTAATAGCCGAGCATAACGTGTGCATCTACTTGGGAAAACTTCCGGAAACGAAAATATCTATACATGTACATTTTTATCGCTTTAACTTTACAAGAATTGGTAGAATTGGCTCTATAACTGCCGTAAATTAACAAAATCAAGCCGAATTATATTTTTTTTTTAAATAAATTCCATACAATTCAAACCAACATTCGCAGTAATAAATTTCACTACGAATTTGACTAACATTCGTACTGTGAATTTGATTACAAACTAACGTGAGTAGTAATAAATTTTTGCGCACTTGAACTTGATTCCGTTCAGTCAAATGCAACTCAAATATTTCAATCGTCTATTTATTGATATTATCGTCTCATTAATATTATTAACCTCTTCAAAAGTTTCTTCGTTCTCGTGTTATTAATTCGTTCTCGACAAATTCTTTTCGTATCATCTGTCAGCAATTATACTTACGAAGTATATCACTTCAAATAAAATGACACAGCTATTGGAAATCATCATTCAAATGGTATTTAACAAGAAATTCTTTTATTATATGTATTCTTTTATTACATGCCTTTCTAACTATGCGATGTCGTTTCAAATTTAAAGCAATCATCAACGTGAATTGAGAGTTTGCTGGAGCAAAAATGTAATATACGAGAGTTAATGATACATAGTTTCTACCTCTGGAAAAATAATATCCTCCATTTACCATTTTTTCAAACTTTCGTAAGAAGCGATAAGAAGTCTAGTTTTATGCGAATTATTCCGAATCACGTGAATTGTTGAGCGTCAATTGACTCGGCATTGTCTTGAGAAATTTCTTCCTTTTTGATAATTCTTTTGCTCCTCCTACGTCGTTATTATAACTTTCGTTCAGATATTATACTATTATATTATCGTACAGCACCGAATGTACATTCGTTATGATTATCAGCAAATTATATTATACTATTATATTATCGTACAGCACCGAATATACATTCGTTATAATTATCAGCAAATTATATTACATTATAATACAATATAATAATATAATATTATAATATTATAATAATATATATTATAAAAAGAATATATAATATTATATTATAACATAATATATAATATAATGATATTATATTGTTAAAAGAGAAAGTCCGAGCTATCGGCTAGATTCAAATACATTTCAATGTCACAATCTAACAAAATCCATCGAAATCTAACGAAATCAGTCAAAATCTGCTACTTTCTAGCGAAGCAACATTATGATCATTCACGCTTTTCAACCTAATTCTCATGCATTGTACGTAGCTTATCGTCAATTCACTCGCGAATTCTTCGATCCTCGTCTCGCGGCTCTTGCTCTCGCCGAATCATTTTCAAAATTTTCCCCCCGTTTCCCGCGGTTATTCGCACTTTTTCCCCCCCGTTGCTGTTTCACGTTGTTTTTTCCTCTTGTGTCTCTTTTCTTTTTTTTCTTTTTTTCTTTTTTTTTTTAATCGTTTAATCGCGTACACAGGTCCACTTGCGTGCAGGCGGGCGGCGTGCGTCGCGGTGAAAGAATTTATCGGTCCACCGCGATGGCCGCAACTAAATTTGCGTTCACGGTTGGCCAGATAAATGCGGTGGCACCGCCGCTTTTGTTAGCCGATGGAATAATATAGGCGGCCGTGTATATGCATATGCGCGCGCGCGCGCGCGCGCGCGTGCGTGCGTGCATGCATCCTCTCTCCCTCCAGCCGCTGTTTCGTCGCATGCATCATTTATATGTATAATATACGCCTACGGAAGTGCGTGTGTTTCCACCTGTATAGCCGGCCCCGCAAACTACTGGATGATTGACCAGCGCGGCAGAACAATAGGGCTGTCGCGCGGCCCGCGTCGCTGAAATACTGGCAGCAACGCTCCCGAACCAGAGGAAACGGGGGGAGTGGCAGAACAGAGAAAGAGAGAAGAGAGACGAGAAAAAAAGAAATCGCTCAACGAGATAGATAGAGTTTTTCGAGCGATGAATTAAAAAAGAGAAAAGAAAGAAGAGGTGGAGGAAGTGGGGAATGAAAGAAGAACGAGAGCGCGTGACGCCTGCGCAACGCGTGTCATCACGAGGAGGAATTGTATTGACACTTCGTGTGCCTGTTGAAGATGAAGCGATAGGAACAGTTCTCGACCGAGTGACTCTTTTTTTTTTTCTTTTTTAGAAAGGAATTAGAAAATAACGAGTATAAATTTAATGTAATTTTGTGCAACGACGATTGTTTTGCGTACAATGACAACATTACATGATTGTAGACTCGTTGCGACGAGAAAGGATTTATTAGTTTGCGCTCGTTCGTGTTGATTTTGTATAGATGACGATCTCGCGTTCGTATGTTTTCTAAGAGCGTAGGTCCATTTGTTGGGAAAGAAGAGACAAACGATGAGAAAGGAAGAGTCACGAAATTGAACAAGTCGTCGATAAAATGAACAGGAAGCTAAAACACTCGTAGCAACAGTCGAGTCAAGACATATATATATATATATATATGTGTGTGTACAGATGTTTCGAAAGACGTAAGCGAGCCAGAAAACGAATCAATAGAGATTTCTTGGTAATCAATATACCCGTATCCCTCGAGTAGACATCTTATTGTTAGTTTCTGTCCGTAGGATGGACAATAAAATCTAATATAAACTAGGTTCAGAAACGAAACAAAAACAAGTGAAAATTCCCTCGTGCGACAGAAAGATAAAGATTAAAGAAATCTATTATTTAATATCGAGTTTACGAGTATGGGTAACCTTTGAGAGGACAATAGAAGCCACGAGCCAAGTTAGTTTGTCACGATACGGCAATGATACTCCAGGTGAAGATAAATGGTACTGCGAAACGAGCTAACAATCTGTTTTTGCGTACGTGTATACATTTTATTTCCGTGAAAGTCCCGTTGGTTAATGATCGATCCAGCGCGAGATACCACGATGACGAGTCTCGCTACGCGGGTACAATAAGCACCGAGCAAAACAGCGTATCCTTTATCCCGTGTTCTCTGCCCCCTTACATTTTTCATTTTCTTGCCAACCTCGCTTCGCCCGCCAAACTCTCCACGGCCGCAGGATAAGTGGCTCTTTCTTACCGCGCTCCGACGTCACCTTAGAAAATGCACTCTAACAACCACTGTTTCAGCCTCGGATCCAGCTTTTTGCCAAACCAGGGTTTCTCCTCTTTCGAAAGAACAACGCGAGAGAAACTTGGAGAGCGTGCGTTCCTCGGAGCGTAGCAACGTGACGTCAGTGTGCCCATAGTCGAAATCGATAGTCGTCGAACTTCCACTCGATTCTTCCTCGCGTTTTTTTTTTTTTTTTTTTTTTTTTTTTTTTCATTAATATCTATTTCAAATTTCTCAATTCTCATCGTCCGAGTGCGTAGTTTGTATTCAATGCCTTGAGAAACGAAGGATTTACGTATATTTCTAAAATCCTTCGACATTCTACGAACTCTATAATACTTTCACATTACGTCAACTGAATTAGGAAAATAATAAATTAGGAATTTCTCTTGATTAATCAACAACGAAGACAAAAATACGACAAATAACTAGTAGAGTATGTCCCATTTTAATCCATACATACGATTTATATTGCTCCGAAGCTATTCGTCATTTAAAAGCCGTCTTAAATGCATTTTCAAAAAATAGTAGCAACCTTATCTCCTATCTAGAGACAAACTAACTATACCAAATATTGCTGCTCCCTCAAAATAGAAAAGAAATGCACTCGAGATATTTTTTAAACGACGAACAGTTCCGGAGATAATTTTACAGATTAGAAAAATAACAAATTAAGAATTTCTCTTGATTAATCAACAACGAAGAAATCAAAAATAACTAGTATGTCCCATTTTAATCCATAAATACAATTTATATTGCTCCGAAGCTATTCGTCATTTAAAAGCCGTCTTAAATGCATTTTCAAAAAATAGTAGCAACCTTATCTTCTATCTAGAGACAAACTAACTATACCAAATATTGCTGCTCCCTCAAAATAGAAAAGAAATGCACTCGAGATATTTTTTAAACGACGAACAGTTCCGGAGATAATTTTACAGATTAGAAAAATAACAAATTAAGAATTTCTCTTGATTAATCAACAACGAAGAAATCAAAAATAACTAGTATGTCCCATTTTAATCCATACATACGATTTATATTGCTCCGAAGCTATTCGTCATTTAAAAGCCGTCTTAAATGCATTTTCAAAAAATAGTAGCAACCTTATCTCCTATCTAGAGACAAACTAACTATACCAAATATTGCTGCTCCCTCAAAATAGAAAAGAAATGCACTCGAGATATTTTTTAAACGACGAATAGTTCCGGAGATAATTTTACAGATTAGAAAAATAACAAATTAAGAATTTCTCTTGATTAATCAACAACGAAGAAATCAAAAATAACTAGTATGTCCCATTTTAATCCATAAATACAATTTATATTGCTCCGAAGCTATTCGTCATTTAAAAGCCGTCTTAAATGCATTTTCAAACCTTATCTCCTATCTAGAGACAAACTAACTATACCAAATATTGCTAAAAATAGAAAAGAAATGCACTCGAGATATTTTTTAAATGAAGAAACAATTTCGATGATAATTTTACAAATTGAAATGGGGCACGCCGCGTATTCGGGAAAATATTCAAACTTAATCCAGAGTGTCCGAGCATCTTCGCTGGCTGCCGTAGTTATCCGGGCTCGACGCGACTGGCGCAGCAGCCAAACTGTGAAAACGCAACAACTTTCGAGATAGAATTTTGCAATTTCGCGCGCGGAGCTCGCGTCGAATCTTCCGTCTGCAGCGACGCGAAACACCAGTCGCGAACTCGAGTTGGAGAATTAAGGACAATGGCGGACGCGAGCGTCGTGAAGCGTGCCCCGTGCCCTCCAGCAGCGTTCTTCATCCTCGTTCGAGATCCGTTTCGGCGGCGTTCGCGCGCGAAAACGCGCATCCGGCGGCGATGCACGCGAAAGCGAATTCGGCAGGCGTGAGAGAGGAGAGCAGATTATTCTCGAGGCAAAAGGTAACGCGTCGCCGCGCGCATCCCCCTTTCCGCGTGTCTGAGAAATCTCTGCCTCTACTTAGCATTTATCTCCGGAATTAGGTTAGCTGCGAGAACGCGTCTCTCTCTCTCTCTCTCTCTCTCTCTCGGCCGTTTTTCTCGAGACTCGCTGCCAGCTCCGACGCTAGTGAATTTCAAACGAGACCCCTCGTATAATTTTCAGCTCTTCGGCTCTGCCGGTGGAACGGAAATTTTCGTTCTGAGCCGTCGTGTAGAGCCATCCTGATTTAAAAGAAAGGAAAAAGAGAGAGAAAGAGAGAGAGAGAGAGAGAGAGAAACGAAAAAGGAAATGGCTGGGGCTGCTTGAGAATCTTGGCTCGAGGTTCCTCGGAAGATCGAGTAATTTGAGAAGTTGACCCTCTGGAGTGGAGTTTCAGCCTGCTTTGGAGAATCTGAGACCTTAAGGATAAGGTAGATCGTAAATTCTTCGCCAAGTTGATGGATCCTCGATGTTTCATCGGACGACTTGAATGTGTAAAATTATAGTACGCAGTCTCACCTCAGGAAGGTGAGATTCTATCTCTCAGTTAACCTCTTGTAACCAACATTTTCTCAGTTTTACGTATATTTAAGTGTAACCCAGTCAAAGCAAGTGACTTCCGCAGTTCATTACTTCGTGATCGTTTCTATCCAGCGATATATCGTACCGTACCGTGTTCAAAAGAAAGAGAAAGCGACGAATTACCGTATACCGGGTCCGGTCTCTCGTTATGGTCCGCGAACCATAGTTGCCAGCGCCAAGGGGGTTCAATCATTTCAAAAGTCGCAGTATCTATCGAATCGGATAACACGCCGCGATAAAACGAACGACGATGCTTGAATGCCGTTGTTCGACGGTGTCTATGAATTTTCCCGTTCGGAGAAGGCGAGGCCGCCGGTGAAATTACAGGCGCGATGATACAAACGCGATTAATTAGAAAATGCAACAGGTGAACGTCACTGTACGAAACTAATTGAATCACTCGGCGAGATCGCTCGGAAAAATTGCATTACTTCCGGCGCGGTGCCTATCATACCGCGAGGCCCCGGGTATTAGAGAAACTGCTCTTCTCCGGCCCGGGGAATTTCCTCTTGCCTGTGCTTATACTAAGCGTCTCGTTCCGGCAAACCAACTACGTGAAAACTGCGCTTGTGTGCCAAAGCGAGTCTAGTGACACGAAAAAGTCCAGGGGAAAGAGGATACGGAATAGGAAGGAAGTACCAACGATGAGGAGAAGCGGGGAGAGGGAGTGGGCGTCCGCTTCGTTGTACCCGCGGGGCCAAAGTTTAATCTCGTAAACGTATAAAAAGTTTAGCGAGCCACGCCGCTAGATAATATTACGCGGTCGAAAGTTAGGATAAAGACGATGCAAATTGAAGGGGGCGGACCAGGTGGCCGAGATGAATTCCTCGGCCGGCAAGTAGCCCAAACGTGTGATAAAGATTAACGAACATTTTTGGATCTTCTTGCTCGTTTGTCGACCCTTTGCTTCGTTCGTTTTTTTTTTTTTTTTTTTTTTTTTTTTTTTTTCGTTTTTTTTTTTTTTTTTTTTTTTTGGTATTATTTGATGCTTCTTGACTTTTTGCATAATTTATTTTTTTATTCTAGGGTAAGAATTATTCTGCAGAACTGGAATTAGTTTTTTCCTTTTTTTGATCTCGTGTTATTATTTCCAACATCTCCAAATTTGCATAAAAATCCGCGGTTTGCTCACCACCGAAGCTAATCAAATTCAATTTCTACCTCGTCAGTTCCATCTTATCTTTCCATCGTACCACAATTAGTACCAAAAAAAAAAAAAAAAAAAAAAAAAAAAGAGAGGAACGTTCGTACGAGAAAGACAAGCTGGATGTGACAAGTCAGGAATAACAGTCTGAAGCATCCAGACGTAACTCGAACAGGATTGTGTCTCGTATGAATGAGCACATCGGTGGAAAGCTGCCTTTAACACGGTCCAGCGAGCCGAAAGCACCACGAGAACAGATGCAAGCTCGGCCAAGCGGACGTTTACAGAGCTTCCCATCGAGAGAGGGAAAAAGACGCAAAAATACCGACACAGCGATGACGAGATGATTAGATCACCGGTACACCTGCGAAAGAATCAGGTGAGACTGCTGGAAACGTAAAGATTGAAAAATACAGCGACGAGAGTAACTGTATCAGTGGTCGTGGAAGAATTTGTCGACGACTTTAAAACTGACATTATTTCGTAAAATGAAATCACATCATTCGCTTGGTCTCATTTTTTGAAGCTACGATTTAAAGTAGAATTAAATTAATTAAAAAAAAAAACGACGATTGCGTAACTAAAAGAAACAAAGATTGTACAACAATTCACATTGGTCACATTTCAAAGAAATGATTTAACCTAAACGATTTAAAATTTATAAAAGAAGATCAATGTGATAATTATTACAACTGATGTATTTATTTAATTTTGATATTATATATGATATTTTTTATTTTATATTTTTATATTTTTATATTCTATAGTTTATATTTTATATTTAAACGTTACTTTCTACGAAAAATATTATTGTTTGTTGTTTCAGTGAACTAATCAGAGGACTAATCAAGGATAAGGATACTGAACGCGGTAACAAGCATCGGAGGGAATTAAAACTCGAATATACAAGGAACAATTAGAAACAAGAATTAATACGTCATGATCCAACATTCTGAAATGCTCTGATGCTTTTACAGTATTAAGCTTGACCGTTCTCGTCGATGCTAATACTTCTGAAAGTTTCCATCGCCGGGTTTAATCCCTCAAACAACACGACCTGCATTTAAAGATCACTTTCGATCAAATTTACTAACAATTCCATCTGAAATCTCCCAAATTCTACATCTGATTGAAATAATTCTATACTCGTCAAATATATTCCTAATAAAAAAAAAAAAATTATAAATACGAAAAGGTAAACTTTATATTTGTTTTAAATAATTATTAATTCTTATCGTTATGTGTCCATTCCAAGTGATTCTCAAATATATATTGATTAACTTTATTAATAACGATCTAAACGAATTAAAGAAGTGAATGAAATCACAATAAATTCCAACTTTCTACGCTCGTCAAGTATAAGCGAACCAAATTATAATAAATAATAATAATAAAATTATAATAATTATAAATATATATAATAATATTTATAATATATGTATATATTTATTATATATAGAAATATATATAATAAATAATTATAATAATTATAAAAATTATAATAAATTATAATAAATCCCAAATTTCAACTCCATATCTTTATCTTTAATTATTTTTCTATATCTTTATCACACATCTTTCTCACACTTCTCACATGTAACAATTATTAAACAATTGTCAATCAATTATTATGAAAACACAGAGAAGCGAACCAAATCACAATAAATTCTCCACGCCTATCTCAACGATTATCAATGCTACTAAATTAAAAAATAATATTGAATTAATAATAAAACAATTATTAATTAAAATTATTCAATTGATGAAAGAGGAGGGAACGAAATTACGAATAAATCCCAAAATTCCGACGATCGCATCCACCTTAAACAATTCTTCTACGCTGCTCCGAGCAACAATTGAAAAATTCCGTGCGAAACAATAGATTCCCTGTGATGGATCGAAGATTCATTGCAAGCGACATTGGTCGTCCAACGAGGCTGACGAAAAATGTTTGAAGGGTCGATTCACAGAGGAAACGGGGACGCGAAATAAAGCGTCCGCCTACGCAAGACGCTTCCTAACCATTGGCGGATAAAGGAACACAGCTCCGCAGTTGCGAGAGGAATCCTTGATGCAACGATTCAAAGAACAGAAGCTGACGTTGGGCTGAGGCAATTATTTAAACGAGCTTCGTGCCGCCCCCGCAGCTATCGATCGCCTTCGAGACAAGGTTGAAAGCATTTCATTCGGTTGGCCGAAAAGTAATTGCGCTTCTTCCCCAGCAGATGGACATGAACGTGCGTTTTAAGATGTAACTAACGCAAACTCGTCGTGCGATCCAGAGATAGCTAACTGGCGGCCCTACTTTCTTGAGCGCTACCCCCTACTACCCCCACTACTAATTCTCCTACAACTCATTTGTGTATATAAATTTGACTAATATACGTAAATATATTTAAACAAATATACGTAAATATGTAAATTTTTCCTAGCAGATGGACACACACGTGTGTTTTAAAATGTAACTAACGCAGACTCGTCGTGCAATCCAGAGATAGCTAACTGGCGGCCCTACTTTCTTGAGCGCTACCCCCTCCACTACTATCCCATCAATTCTCCTACATTATTTGTGTATATAAATTTGACTAATGTACGTAAATATATTTAAATAAATATACGTAAATATGTAAATTTTTCCAAGCAGATGGACACACACGTGTATTTTAAAATGTAACTAACGCAGACTCGTCGTGCAATCCAGAGATAGCTAACTGGCGGTCCTACTTTCTTGAGTGCTAACCCCTCCACTACGACCCGCACCACCAATTCTCCTACAACTCATTTGTGTATATAAATTTGACTAATATACGTAAGTATATTTAAACAAATATACGTAAATGTGTAAATTTTTCTTAGCAGATGGACATACACGTGTGTTTTAAGATGTAATTAACACAGACTCATCGTGCGATCCAAAGATAGCTAACTGGCGGCCCTATTTTCTTGAGCGCTACCTCCTCCACTACTACCCCCACCACCAATTCTCCTACATTATTTGTGTATATAAATTTGACTAATATACGTAAATATATTTAAACAAATATACGTAAATATGTAAATTTGAATATTAAATGTTATATTTGTATATTATAACATTTATTTATTAATAGATAAGTAACATTATTATATTGTTACTCATTTATTAGTTAATCAATCGCGAGACAATTGTTCCGCACGATAATTCCGCGAGAGATCGCAATTTGTTTCGAATAATCTGTCATCGTTTATTGGAATTTTATTCAATTAATGCTTCAACAATTATCCGATACGAGTTCCATTCTATTTGACGCGAGAGTTTGTCAATTTTGTCAGTTGTTCATTTCGAACTCAATTCGTGGCTAATTGTGGCTAATTTTTAAACACGCGTGTTACAAATTATATAAAATAATATACGTGTTATATATTATATAAAAATGATAAATAATGAACGATTCGAATAGTCTGACTAAGATCCATCTCCAAGATCTGAAAGTCCGAATGAGCTTTCTCCTTTTTCGATTTTGAAAAATTCCCCGGACTTTACACTTTCTTTCCGAAGATCGTGCATTTTCCTTCCGAGATCGGCAGAATCGATGATCCTCGTTAAGCGAAAGACAAATCGTTCAAGATCAGAAAAATAGCTCGCGTAACGAGCAGCTCGTTTTTCTGAATTTATCGGACATCGATCCGATCTTTGAACGACACGCAGACATTCTCAAGAATCGAAGATCGATATGCAGTTTCAGTCACACGTATGTATCTCTTGGTTAGGAGAGAACATTCGCTTAAAAAATTATTACATTGCTATTATTTTCATTACGAACTTTTTTGCGAGTTTATTTAATATTTAGAATTTTTTAAATATCAATTAAAAAATATTCAGAATTTCTTAAATATCAAAAGAAATATTCAAAATTTTTTAAATATCAATAAAGAACATTCAGAATTTTTTAAATATCAATAAATGATATTCAGAATTTTTTACATATCAATAAAAAATATTCAGAATTTTTTAAATATCAATAAAAAATATACAGAATTTTTTAAATATTAATCGCAGCGAAAATTAACATTCGTGAATGAAAATAGCTTGAGCATTCATGTATTTGAATGTCCATTTTAAAAAAAGGCAGGAGATGGAATATTTTAAAGTATTTTGAAATTATTTCAAAGTATTTTTTAAGATACTTTTTTTTTATAAAAGATCAGAATACTCACTTTGGGATGTCGATCTTCGATGACCGACATTTTCGTAGAGGAACGCCGCCCCATATGTTGTATGCTGTAAAATAAAAATATTGTCAACATTATATTTCTGTTTTCACTCGTAACGTTCTAATGAAGGAAAAGTTAATTGCAAATTGTATAATTATATTCCTAATTAAGCTGTGTATTTAAAAATTCATGTTTTTAGGAATGTGACGAAAAGCACAGAAGCTCGATAGGAAATGTTAGAAATGGGGTACTGTACTTTGAATATTTTATATTACGCATCACGCGCAACTTCACGTTTTAAGATTTCTATGAAAGATCGTAATCATATAATAAGTAATAATTAATAATGTAATATTCGTAGTAAAAGAAGAGATAGAGATTATAAAACAGTAATATTTATAATATTGTACTTTAACAAAATTTCAGTAAAGCTAGAATTTGAAAGTTTTTAACAGTTTCCCTAATCTTTCAAATTCGCACGCGGAATTTCGAACTTCGTTAAAGATCGAAACTTCTGTCAAACTCTGCGAAAACGCGATAACACCCCGAAATTTCTAACCCTTGAAAATTAGTCGAATTTCCGAACTTCACTCGGACACCCGCGAGCTCACGATACCACTTCAAAGTTAAAATCCATCAAAGCTTAATTTATTTAGCCTTTCAGATGAGATAAAAATATTTCAATCCTCAGAAAAATCTATCATTCGAATGACATTCGCGGTCACAAAAATTATTCGATTTTGGAATCGCTGCTAATATCCATCAGAAGGAACACAAAGAACAAAATAAAATTACATAATGCATAATAAATAAATAAAAATAAATAAATAATAAGTAAATAAATAATAAATAAACAAATAATAAATAATAAATAAATAATAAGTAAATAAATAATAAATAAACAAATAATAAATAATAAATAAATAATAAGTAAATAAATAATAAATAAACAAATAATAAATAATAAATAAATAATAAGTAAATAAATAATAAATAAACAAATAATAAATAATAAATAAATAATAAGTAAATAAATAATAAATAAATAATAAGTAAATAAATAATAAATAAATAAAAATAAATAAATAATAAATAAATAAATAATAAATAAATAAAAATAAATTAATTAATTAATAAATTAATAAAATAAATAAATAAATAAAAAGGCAAAATAAATAAATTAATTAATTAATAAAACACACAATAAATAAATAAATTAATTAATAAAACGCAAAATAAATGAATAAATAAATTAATAAAACGCAAAATAAATAAATAAATAAATTAATAAAACGCAAAATAAATAAATAAAACGCAAATAAATAAATAAATAAAACCGGCCATGACACTCGTCCGATCAAACAATGAAACAAATAAAAGTTGGGAATAACAACACTTCCCCTGAGAATTGAGAGATGAGAAGAGCTAATTGGCCCGGCATTGAATTCGTTTAAACGATATGGCTGAGTTATTTGCCGATCGGACGTTTCAACGCACGATAATTGCTTGTTTCTTTTCCCCGGCTCGATCGGGAAATATTATAGAATGAAAATCGAGGCGAACGATTCGGGGGAAATCGATACATTCAGCGCTAATTGCGCTTCGTTATTCATCAGCCTTCTGTTCGTTTCATCGATCGGCCATCTCGGAAGACATTTACTAATTATAAAGTTCGCTCTCCAAGCACGTTCACGATATACTATGTCTTGTCAGCTCGGACACCGGTTAGCTCCAGATCGTTTGCTTTGTTTCTCGATGCTCTAATACTTTTATCGGTGAGAATCGAGTGTCATTTAACGCCCGTCACTTGTCGACAGCATAAATGAACTTCGCGAAGAACGGCGTAAATTTATGTACATTGAAGAGCCATAACGATGAAAAATCGTCGATAATTAAATGTAATTTAAATGCAATTAAAAAGGAACACGAATGAAAGCGTCGACGGTTAAATATAGCTATCAGTGCTGTTGTATGAATACAATTTGCGAAATTTAATAATTGCATTACAATGCAATGTGTGTATTTGTTAACAATTTATGTTTTATATTGTACAATTATGTTATATTGTATATTATATTTATGTGTATTTCTTAACAATTTATGTTTTATATTGTATCATAAAATTATATTATAAAACATATATATATATATATATATAAAATTAAATTATAAAATATATATATAAAATTATATTATAAAATATATATATTTATAAAATATTTATATTATAAGAAATATATATATATATTATATATTATAAAGTATAACGATCATTAATTTACATTAAGTTTCAATTTAGGTTTTATATTGTACGATGAAACTTGAAAATTTTATTATCTACGAATGTAATTAAATAAAACGTTAGAAATAAAATGAAGAATTATTGTTAGCGAGGGTGTGTATTCCAATATTTGAAAAAAATATTTATACAGGGAGTTTTAAAGGGTCGTCGCAAACTTTAGGGGAAACTTTAATCTTCAAAGTAGTGGTGGATCTAGGTCACGAAACAATTTTTTTAATGTTTTTACAAACGTTATTCTACCGTTCGGTTATTAATTTATGCATTAAATTTATATAATTTTGAACATTTCGTGATAAACGAAATAAAATGCAAAATCTACAAAAACATTTGAAAATTATACGTAATGCAGAAAATGATATGTACGATGAGTAAATATTTAAACACAATGCACGTGATATATAATTGTAATTAAACGAAAGATTAATTAAGAGAAAATTAAATTACCCAGTTTCAAGTTAAATCGTACGTAGTTTAAAGTAATTTCAGGAAACAGTGCAGAACACACGTCTGTCGTCAGGGATGAAAGGATTAACAGCGACTACAATGAAAGTTTCTTCCTTTGTTAGTTCATCTCTTTTTAAAATACGCTAAATAACGTCGTCTCACGCAAAGAAGAAGAAAAATTAGTTACACGAATCGCCGTGCATCTCTTACCGCGGAGAGAAGCGGTGAAATTCATATACGACGTGTATCCGCGATTCTCCCGAGGTTAACTCAAATTTAATTTAAAACTCTAGGATTACTAGATCTGAAATTTAGGATTGATTCGAAATTAAATTTGAAAAAAGAAAAAAGAAAAAATGGAGATAGAAAGCTCGGGGCACGAGCCGCGCTTAATTTAAACTTCACTCTCGAAATAAGAATGAAATTCGAGACATGCAAAATTTCTAGACCGCATTAAAATTTCCCTAATTGAAAAAAAATTACCTAAATGAACTCGAAAAATAATTGCGAGTTTAATCCCAAGTAATTTTAAATGTTAGAAACTTGGGAAGAGAAAGGAGAGAAAAATACAGAAATTCAAACGGAATGAAAATCAGACAACGACAGACAGAAGATTTTATCTTCTCAACGAATCTCCGAGGAAAGTTTTAAACTCGCCAGAAAATCCATCGTCTTCAAGAGTTGCAAAGGACTCGAGGTTATTTCGAATTTCGTTCGGATAAAGCGAGATTTATTGCTGCAAGTTCGAAAGGTTCACTTCCCGGTCTTTGTGGATGGAAAAGTGCGAGCTATCGTAAACTCTAAAGTATCCCAGAGGGCGTTGAGGAGAGAATTAGGTTATGACGACTCTTGGAAACCGATCTTGGAACGAGTCCAATTGTCGCGAAACCATTTGTCGTATATCCCATCCCTGCATCATCGGAATTCATTATGAATTTATCGTTATACTGTTATGAGTTTGCTGCTTGAAATATTGAACCTTTCAAAATATTTCTCGCGGAAACTGCATAGACTTGTTGCAAAAATGTGACCTTCGCGTTCTTTCAGTTATTTCCAACTAATTATAAGCCTAGATTTAAAATTAAAGAAGCTTCTTAGCGTGCATGATTTTTCAATCAAGTTCTATGTTAAGTTTCTTTAAAATGTTACACTTTTATAATATACACTACATTGTACGTAATATCAAGTAATCAATATACAGAATGTAACATACAATATTAATAATAATATAATATACAAAAATATAAAATAATCCCACGTTATTAAATGAAATGTACAATAAGATTAACATGATTAAGCTTCAGTCGATGCTTCATAGTTGCTTTTCTAAAAGAAGTCTAGATTTAAACGAAATTCAAGAAGCTTCTTAGCGTGCATGATTTTTCAATCAAGCTCTATGTTAAGTTTCTTTAAAATGTTACACTTTTATAATATATACTACATTGTACGTAATATCAAGTAAT